TGTAAAAGTTAACTATAACCGAATAAAAGGAGCCGGCCAAGAGGCCACCTTAACACCAAAAAAAAAAAAAAAAAAGATATATACAATAACTCAAAATAGCTAAAAATATCAAGCTAGAAGTATAATTGCAAGAAAAAAAGCTTGTATATTAAAAATAAAAAGAATACCAAATACTAAAATTAAAAGTAGTCTATATCACAAGCCCAAACTAAATTTATACTCCTAGTATAAAAAGAGCAAAACAATAAAAATACCAAGACTATCTTGAGTTTTAGAGAAATTAAAAAAACATTTTACAAAACCTTTATTTAAAGTTATAATATTATCAAAAAATGATAAGCTCTTTACTAACATATGAGAATATCTAATAAATAAAAATTGGTGGCATACCAACTAAACTAGATGTTAATAGCTAAAGTATATTTTAAACAGTGAACAATACTGATATTAGTTAACTAACTAGATTAGACCTGATTCACAAGATTAGAAATAGTCTAAAAAGGTTATAAGGCTATCTATAGAGATTTACCAAATTTGAGAACTTAGGTATAAGTAGTATAAGAGATGCAAAGAATATAGTTAAGTAAAATACTAAAGTAGAACTGGCGAAGAATAGGAAAATACCAGGTGAATATATTAATAAGGACTCATCACTCTGGTAGTTTTGGGTCACAAATAATAAACAGCCAGCTATTAGTAGTTTAAGAGATACCTGACTGCAAGTGTTGGCTTCAGTCATAGCATAGGCTGCTAATAAAGCTTAAGTCTAAGCATAGTTTATACCAGTACGATTATATGAAATATGAAGAGATAGTATCATTCAACTTTTTGGTGTGCTATATTTTTTCCTATTTTAGCATGTGTTAGGTTACTATGTTTTGCTTATTTAAATATTATTATGATAATTATATGAGATAACAGTTATTTAAAGTAAGTACTGAGGTCATATGTAATGATTTAATTTGATTGTCATAATAATATTGTTATCATTTGTAATCTATGCAGTTTTTCAATATATGTGCCAGGTTTGTGGCACAGATTGCCTGAGCTACGAATCAGATTTCAAAATCAGGATATTATTTAAATGTGTGCCAGGTTTGTGGTGCAGTCAAAATTCTTTAAAGTTTGTTCATTTAGTGTTAGAGCCAAGAATCTTATTAATACTAGAGATTAGAGAGGTACATAGTAAAATTGCTCAAGAAAAATTTTTATTAGTGCATAAAGAGTAGTTATATATGCAATTCTTTAAGAAAAAAGTGATTTTTGATGAAATATGCTGTTTGTTTTAAATTTTCTTGTTGTACCTGATTTTGCATCCCTTGAATGTGTGCCAGATAGTGCTTGGATCTGATCAAAAAATCTGTCAGATTTTCAATTAGATATCTGTTTGTATCGGATAATGAATATACGTATTGCAAATAGTCAAATACATGTTTAACTATCTGATACTTTGATTAATAACAATGATATATTATCATTATGATATAAATAAATAATATTAAACTATCTGATGCTTCGATTAATAAAATAATGATGCATTATAATGATATAAATAAATGAAATTATAAGCTTTTTATTTTGATTATACGATTATTAATAATTTTTTCTTATTTATATTTACCTTAATAATAATTTTTTTTTATACTCATTTATAATAATGAATAGCGAAGATTCTTTACAATTTAATGAAACCTCAAGCAAAACTTCTATGAGTTGCTTAAATAATAATATTGTTACTACACATTTAATAGATAATAATCAATCAAAAAAAAGAGGAGGTTTAAAGAAAAGAAGCTGGATATAGAACCATTTCAAGGATTTACCTACTAAATATAGATCTAAAGGATGTTCTATAGAATAGGTAGACAAACTCTACAAACTTTGCAACTCCGCTATTAAAAAATTAATGATTACTAATTATTAGCGAAGCTTATTTCTTATTTTGTCTACCTATTCTATAGAATATCCAATCTAAAGGCCAGTACGATGTGTTAAAAAATAATAGTACAAAATATAATCATATTATTGAAACTGATAGCAGTGTAGGAAATTTTAGTTATCATCTTCATATTACACATGGGGTTACAAAATTTGGAAAACTAATATTAGATAACTCTCAAGCATCAATTGATGACATGCTTCGTCAACGATTCAAGAATAATGTTGAATATAAAGAGCAAGTCAATAGCATGGTGGCTGAATTTCTTATATCTGATTCACAACCATTTTTTGGTTTAGAAAATCTGGCATTCAAAAACTTTTAAAAAAACTTAATCCATATTATGAAATATCTTGTGACAAAGGTATTAAAGCTCGAATTTGTATGTCTTATAATTGGATGTTGGCCACTCTTCAAGATATATTGAAGAATTCAATGAATTTTTGTGAGTTAACAATGGACTTATAGACTTTCTACAGTAATAGTGGGTATCTCAAAATCACATATTTATAGATTACCGATATATAAATCTATGCGAAATTAATTACTAGAGTCATAAGATAAAATAGACTGCTTTTTTTATAAGGATAACATAAATATAAAAAATCATCATCAATATTGTATATGATATATTCTATTATTAGTTAAGGTACTTTTTTTATTCAATCAGGTAATTAAGAATAGACACAAGTAGATCAGTGGTGGCAGAAATAATGCATCATCACGTGACCAAAGATCATTTCCGATATGGTTTCTAACCAGAGAATCTACAGAACTAAGAAGAGAAAAATGAAAATTTTCAAAATTTTAAATCAAAATATCTTGGTAACCACCTGACCAGAATTGATGATTTTTTTTATTTGAATTCTATGAATCTATAGAATTTAAATAAAAAAATTTTTCGAATTTGTCAAAGTTAGAGAAAAATCAAACTGCCTATCAAAATAGAAGCTGCGCCAAGTTATTTTAAATGTTTGAGCAAAGATATCTTCACAACCACCTGACCAAATTCTATGGAATTTTTTTTATTTGAATTCTATAATCCACAGAATTCAAAT